CAGATTCTCAGTCCAACAGTGTCAGCCCAGTGCAGCTAGATTTTCCTGTCTTCAGCACCAGGTGAAGTCATTGGCATATGTGCAGGAGCTGTAATTTTATTATTTCTAATAATGTTAGTTACAAACAGAGTCACAGTTGATTAGTAGTGAGTTGCACACCCTTGAGAGAGACTTACAGGAACCATCTGGGGAAAGCAGATTTATCCTCTGTCACACTCACTCCAAGGAACAGGTTCTTAGAGTGGAATCACCTAGACTAATCAATTGATCCATAGCACATGTGCACGCATCTCCTCCTCCTCTCCTCTCTTGTCCTCTCTCTCAGCTGAACCCAGAACTTAGGTGAACTTGGTGTGTGTGAGTGTGTGGAGTGCCACTCCATTGTACCTTGGGCCTGGCAGAGGGGGATTTGAAAGGAAGGAGCCTTAGCTGGAACACTGAAAGCATTTGAGGATGTGAAGCTACTACTAAATCAATAGAGATATAGCACCCAGAACTCTTTACATCTCTATGCAGGACTGGCTTCACCAACAGAATAGTAAAAATAGGATCTTTACTATTTAAATACAATGTTTAAAGTAAGGGCTTTGTCACTGTTTTCTTTGTCTGATGTAGGTCAAATGATTTCACTCTGTCCTCCTTAACCAGCATTTCTATGTGTGAAAAGGCTTTTTGGATGCCACAAGTTCTAAGGGAATAGAAAAGAACTCATAGTAGTTTTCTATTGTAGCATAACAAATTATCACAAACCTAGCAGCTTAAAACAGCACTCATTTACTGTCTCACAGTTCTGTGGACCAGGAGTCCAGCTCAGGCTCAACTGGGCTGTCTGCTCGGCTCTTGCCCGGGGCCAGCGGTTGTCTCCCAGGTGTCAGAAGCTCATGCGGGTGGTGGCAGCCTTCACTTTCGTGCAGTTGGAGAACTCAGGGCAGCCTGTTTTCTTCCAGTTCAGGGCCAGCAGGAGAGTGCATGCTGGTGCATCTTGTTTCCTTTAAGGGCTCACCTAATAAAGCCAGGCCCGCCTAGGATAATCTTTATGATTAACTCAGATTCAACTCCCTAGGGACCTTAATTCCATCTTGCAGAATCCCTTTTGCCACATCATATAAAGCAATCGTGTAAGTCAGGACCCCATCACATTCACCAGCCCTGCCCACGCTCACAGGAGGGCGTTAGGGCCTGAAGACAGGGGGTGGAACTCTCGGGAGCCAACTTGAATTTCTGCCTATCACGTAAGTATTATTGAGTACCTACTGAAGTGCCAAGCACTGTTTGATTAATTCCTGCCTTTGAGTAAAAACGGTACCATCCACAAGTTCTACCAGGAGGGAAACCAAAGCTCGAGGAAATGAAGTGACTCGTATAGTTAGTAAAGAGCACGATCAGGACGCTGCCCTGGGTCTGCTGGCCTTCAGCGCCCCAGCTCCCTCCCTGTTGCCACACTGCCTCTACCCCGTCCTGTCGCTTCTGCCTCCTGTCCAGTGTATCTGCTTTTCTCCAAGCCCCCCGTCCTGGCTGTAGGCCATCGCCGTCCTCCCCGGCCCGCCCACAGCCGCCCGAGTGGTCTCCTGGCCTTGCTCTCGCTCTTCTGCAGTCTGTCCTCCGCAGTCCTGACGTGCAGTCAGCCCGTCACTGCCTGCCTCAGACACGGGATCGAACGCTGGAATCGCTGCTTTGGGGTGGAGCTCGCGCTCTGAGACAGAGGCTACAGGCATCAGTCTATGGGCTCTGCTTGCAACCCTAACTTCACCTCTCTCCTCTCTGTGTGATGTGTTGCCACCCCTTGTTCCCTCCGCCTGAACACTCTTGACCACGCTTCGTCTGGCTAATTCTCCCCAGCTATCAGGTCTGGACTAAATGCCACTTGCTCCAGAGGCTTTCTTGGACTCCCTAATTAGGTGAGTTGCTCCCATTGCCTGTTCCTCTAGCATCCAGGACTTTTCCTCTAATATATCGCATTTTAGTATCATGACCTATTTACCTGTGTGTCTGATTCTTGGCTGTATTCCTGCTGTCTGGCAGATAGTGGATACTCTAAGAAATATGTATTAATAAGTGAATGGCAGAGTGCTTTGATAGGTTACATTTTTCTGTTACCTTTCAAATCTTTTCTAGTTTCTGCTTTTTCTTGTTTGCCATTGGAATACTTTTAATATCACACATCAAAAGAGCTATCCACTGCTAGTGCTTTATTCAGGATCAAATCATTAGTATAAGGTAAAGCAGGCAAAAGATAGTGGGCCTTCAAACTCTCAAATTTATGTGTGTTCCACTGTTTTGTGCTGCTTAATTGCCTTAGGATACAGTCTGGGCTTTGAGCTCATCCTCTTAACTGCTCACTATACCAGGAGAGGTACTCAGTATATACTAGTTTATTTTCTACATAGTTTAATGCAGGCTTTGATAACAGAGGCCCTTTCTTCAGCCTATGGATTTGTATCTAATACACAGGGTCCAGCACAAATAACGTCCCTTTTTTATTACAAAATCATAGGTATGTAGTTCTGTAACGTAACAGTATCACTCAAGCACACCATATGACATTTTAGGTAAAACATTCAAATTAAAACTATAAATTATTACACCCATATTATTACCCTGCCAACCACACTCAAGCAGGCTTGACTTCTCTGCTGAACCCTATATTAACCAGGAGTTATCATTTTGTAAAGTTTTAATTTTCTGTTCCTGCTATAGATAGCCTTGTGAAATAGGGAGCAATAAATGTTTTGTAGTATTATATCATGTTTGAGAAAACATTGTTAAAGCTCCTTTCAAGTTTAATATGACCAAATGAGCTGTGAATTCTCTTAAGCACCTATTCTTTCTATTGGTCTCAATATTTAGTAGTGAGATTGATTCTAAAGTTGAGAAAGGTTTGCAGTGTCTAGACTTCCACAAATTATTCTTTCATCATACACTCCACTAAATGCCAGGCCTATGGATAAGCTGTAAAATTTTCGAAGCTGAATTTGTAACAAAAATGCCACAATTTTTAAATCCAAAGAAGTGCTGTTTCATTAAAAATACTTTGAAAGTTGTTGGAAATGTTTCCATTTCTCAAAATGGTTTCAGAATTTTTTTTTTAATTTTTAAATTGCAGTTGACATACAATATTATATTAGTTTAAGTTATACAACGTAGTGATTAGACATTTATATAACTTATGAAGTGATTCCCCGGATAAGTCTATGACCCACCTGGCACCATACATAGTTGTTACAATGTTTTTGACTGTATTCCTCATGCTATAGTTTACATCCCCTGACTAGTTTTATAACTAACAATTTGTACTTAATCCCTTCCCCCTTTTCACCTATCCCATGTTACTCACCAAAAATCGGAATTCCTTTTGGAATTAAACTCAGAGCCGTCACACAAGCTTTTTTGTTGTCATCAGTCTTCACTAGTCTTTGGCCTTTGAGGGAACAAAGTTATTTTATGGAAACATTAAGAACTAAGGTGAACAAAGTGTGGGCACAGGCTTAGTTTAAAACAATATGCAACTCTGAAGTCAAGAGCAGGACTGTGTTGTTTGTTGGTTAGTTTTTGGTCGTAAAATCTGACACTTAAGGCAAACAGAAGTTCCCAGTAACTTTTGAAGCACCAAACATTTGTGCCAGAGTGACTGCAGGGCCAGGGAGGACCGCCGGGGGCGGGAGAGGGGGCGGGGGTGGAGGACTGATCACTCATCTGGACCCTTGCAGATGGGCTTGGAAAGCAAAGCCATCCGGAGCACATCTCGGTTTACTAGATAAAGATTACAAAGGGGTAACCTTTTCTTTTTAAGTAGTAACTTCTTCTGTAAGGAAGCAACATATTTTCTTTCTTTGGCCCATAATGCATAGCCCAGGCTACCTAGGTTGTACTCATTCTGCTTTTATCACTTAGCTTAGTTGTAGGATCCAAGTAAGTCACTGTTTTCTGAATTTCCTTTTTCTCATCCTCAAAGGAATGGTTTGGACAGATGCTATCTAATGTGTCTTTTCAGGTAGGAAAGCTTAACTTTTTTCTCTCAGTCTATGGGTAGTTCTAAAATGGAATGCATAATAATATATAATATAATCTTTTGTTTTAAATATCCCTCATTGACCTGGCTGTTTCTCAAAAGTCATGCTTTGCTCTTGGAATTTTCATAGTAATGGTGAAGAACAGACACACTTCAAGTTGTAGATAGCAGTTTGTTGAAGCGAAAGAGGTTTGCCTTTCATTGACTACTGAAGAATTGCCGTCAATTTACTTACCTCACCCCTGGACCATAAGAATGTGAACAATCAAATAACAATAAAGTACAAGTGACAGTAAAAGCAGGATCAAGGAAATTTTTTTTTTTTTTTTTTTTAAGAGGGAGGAGAAGGGAAAGAGAAAGAGAGGGAGACATGAATGTGCAATTGCCTCTCACACGCCCCCTACTGGGGACCTGGCCTGCAACCCAGGCGTGAGCCCGGACCGGGAATCAAACTGGTGACCCCTTGGTTCACAGGCCGGCACTCAACTCATGGAGCCATGCAAGCCAGGGTGGATCAGGGAAATTTTAAGATTAGAAATAAAATGCAAAGGAACGGAAAGGACATTGATTTGGTTCTTGGCTTTCAAAGTTTAAAGAGAAGTTGTGTGGTTGTTATTTCAAAGGTGAGAAAAGTGACATCCCAGGAGAGGAAAAGAGTTTTCTTAGCACCTGGCTCCGGAAGGACACATAACGTGGGGCTGCATGCAGGAAGAATGAGGGCTTTCCAAGTCATTATGCAGCTGCAACAGTCTGAAACATCTGAGAATAAGTTAGCATGCGTTTTTACTTCTGAAAGTAAAACTGATAGTCACCTCTGATAAGTAACATGGGTTAACTTAATTATCCCGTTTGGGGAAGCTGGTTAGTAGTTGAGAACGCTTTCCGTGATGAAAAGGGGTAGTCTCTTTCCTGGGTTGTAACCATAGGTTCAGGGTTAGTCAACTTGTGTTCTAATCAAGCCTTACCCTGTTCCGTTCTTATGTGGCTCTAGCCAAAAAAGAAGAATATGTCAGCCTACCAGGTGTTCTGCAAAGAGTATCGTGTGACCATTGTGGCTGACCACCCAGGCATAGGTAAGAACACTTCTCATCTTTAGTCTTTTTGGTTCCACTTGTGCCTCTGAAGCAGTGCGGTTAGTTCAGCCAGTCACGAGGCAGCTTCTTCCTGTAGTGTTAAAGGGACCCAAGTCTGGTTTTTTCCCTCAGTTCTGCAAATTACTTTAGATTTTGTCGTAGTGTATCCCGGCCGTAAAAGAGAGACACTTTTTATTTATATCTCTTACGCTGAAAAAATGGAAAACCAAGTAAAATTAAATGTTACAAAGCCCAGTATATAAATATGCAGTTGTTTATTTCCAAGATTCTGCAGTTGACCTTTTTCTTAAAATGCCCTTGGGTGTGCAGTTATGAGATGACTTATGTTATATTGTTCACATTTGTCTCTACATTAGAAGTTAGTGAGGTGAGAAAAACACTACACCACAGACCTTGGGCAAGGCACTTAACTTCTATAAATCTCATTGCCTAAGATGTAAAATAGCTTCCCAAACTTTTCATCAAGGTGGTTGGGAGGCACACATGAAGTACCGTAAAAGGTAAGAATGTGCTGTATAAGCACGTTTCATATAAAAAATTCTGTAGTTAACATCAATATTGAGTAAATTTGGTATGTGAAATTTTAGTTTCCATTTTCACTGAAATGTGAATTCACATTTACAAATGCTGGGATAGTTTAAAGAACTTAAAATGAGGCTTAAATAATATTAAGCACTGTCTTGCTACAGTTAGTTGTATCCAGATTCTAGGAAAAATAAATGATGCTGGCAGTTGGAAAAAATTTTAAAAAAGAACATGCTGTATAAGGCCGGACCCTGCCGTACAAGCGGAAGGGCAACACGCAGCCAGAGAACTGCTTCTCAGCTGCTCCAGGGAAATTCTTTGGTACAGAGCGCTCAGAAATTCAGCAAAAACCTACTATCTTTTATCAAATTCTACATCACATATTTTCTCTAACCTAAGTTGATAAGCCATGTATTGTGGGATTAAATTAAAAGACACCGGAAAGATGCTTTAACGAATAAACCCCGAGAGAGCAGATGCATGAGGGTTTACAGGTATCTCATGACCGCCACCACTTAGTGATTAACACTTAGGCTTCCCTGCCTAAGGAAGGGAAGCAGGAAAACTGGTGGGGTTGGGTTGGGTTTGATTTTCTGAAAGAATCTTGTGCTATTACAATCTGATTTCAAAACCTTTTTCCAGTGTTTGCTCTCATCAATCTTGGTTGGTTTTTTTTGTTTGTTTTTGTTTTTTGGTATTTAAACGTCTATTTTATTGAGTTTTTTACTCTTTTATGCCAGATTTTGGGGAACTTAGTAAAAAACTGGCTGAGGTATGGAAGCAGTTGCCAGAAAAGGACAAACTGGTAAGTACACTTTCTCACAAACACATTTTTTATTGCTTTATAAGCCTTCCAAAATGCGATTCTCCTATAGCACACCCAGCCAAAGAATACTGAAATGGGGGGGGGGGGGCGCGCGGACAAATGAATGGAAAATGGTTTAGTAGAGGGCATTAACACCAGCTGGTGCCGGTTTACTCTAGGTAAGGATTTAGCTGAAGGAAGGCTATCTTTTCTAACCTCTTCAAATTTATTTTGCAACAGCTTTACATCTGAGCCAAAAGATAACCTCATTTGGCCAGTGATTGAAGTGATAAAAGAAAAAGCCCCTTTACTATAGACACCTGCTAGTCAGCCACGGTCTGAGAAGTGAGGATAGTCAGCCACGGTCTGAGAAGTGAGGAAAGTCAGCCACTTAGTCGTCATCGCAAGTAATAAAAGCACAGGTCTATGTTTACTAGGGACCCAGGTTCTAAGCCATCCCCCTCATCAGCCACAGCCAATGAACGTACCTGCTGTAAAGAAGCTAAGAAGACCGTGATCAGTAGTGCTGTCTGACTCACAGTCACTTCCCAGTTGGATGATAAGAAGATGGTCTAGGAATTAGAATTACCGTCTTGCTTTAAGGTGTAGCTCATCTGGGTAAAACAACTAAAATATTTCTCACTCAGGAAGTGTATCTTTAGTTTCTGTTTTTCATGTCGATGTTATCCTGCTATTGGTATCACCAGCCAGGAGCTTAGAATATATTCAAGCCACATGGAGGTGACACTGAGCCAGATGTTTCTGCCATGGTTTCACGTTCCAGCCTTAGATCTAAAAGTCAGTGCTGAGATCTGACTGTGAGCATTGAGGAGCGCTTGTCGCCCTCTGTGGAGCCTGATGGCCGCTCGGTGTGAAGCCTGCGCAGTCCCCCTCTGCCCGAGAGTTAGCACTGACCCTCTCTCTGCCCTTGTGCTGTTCCCTTTCTTTTCTTCATTATGCTCTTCTGCGACTGCTTTCCCTTTCACTTTTTTTTCCCATTTTATTTTATTTTGCCCTGATCTGATTGCAGATTTGGAAGCAAAAAGCTCAGTATCTGCAACACAAACAGAACAAAGCAGAAGCTACGACTGTGAAAAGAAAAGCATCGAGCTCAGAAGGTTCCTTGAAAGTAAAAGGTAGTGGCCACCTCCCTCTCCTGCCTCCTTTCCCCTGGAGCACTATAAATTTTGCTTCCTAACTGAGAAATTGGGGGAGCAGCCTATATTAGAAGCAGATCTTGATACCCAAGTATTATGACTGAACATTTTAGGTGGAAAAAGGCATTTGGAAAATCAGAAGTCAGCAAACTTTTCATTAAAGGCCCTGGCTGGTGTGGCTCTGTTGATTGGAGCATTGTCCCGTAAATCAAAAGGTTACTGGTTCCATTCCCGGTCAGGACAGATGCCGGGGTTGCAGGCCAGGTCCCCTGTCAGGGCACCTGTGAGAGGCAACCGGTTGATGTTTCTCTCCCTTTCTCCATCCCTACCCCTCTCTCTAAAATCAGTAAACATGTCCTTGGGTATGGATTTAAAAAAAAAATTTTTTTTTCCAGTAAAGGGCCGGAGAGTAAATATTTCCGGCCTTGCAGGCCCATGTGGATATTCTGCCACATATTCTTTGTTTTTTCTACAACCATTTAAACATGTAAAATTATTCTTACCTCACAGGTCATACTAAAACAGGTCATGGGTCAGATTCGTCCCATAGTCCATAGTTTTGCTATTGCCTGGCATAGCTCATAAGCAGGAAAAATCAGGAAGGACATTTTTGTGGTGCTCAAGGCTATAGCAAGCTTGATCTCTCCATTTCTTCTCTGTTCGCAGCGTCCTCTGCAGTACTGTCACCCCAAAAGAAGTCCCCGCCCACTACCATGCTATTACCAGCCTCGCCGGCCAAAGCCCCCGAGACAGAGCCCATTGATGTTGCTGCCCATCTCCAGCTGCTGGGAGAGTCCCTCAGTCTCATCGGACACCGCCTGCAGGAAACAGAGGTGAGCCCTGTTGTCGGCAGCGTGACTCCAGGGGCCGAGAGAATTTGAATCCGCTCACTGCTTCCACATGTGTGCGTTGAGCAGCTCCTTTATGCTGGACTATGCCAGGTGTTCCGGGTGTGGTGATAAGGAAGATACGTAGTAATAGAAACCTCTAGAGAGTTGGAATCAAAGCTTACACTAACACCATCCTATTGAAACAATGGCACAAAAACAAATTAGAATAGCCTATAATTTTTTCCCCAGTTTTATTAAGATACAATTCACATATAACCGTGTAACTTTTTTATTAATGCATTGGAAAAGCTGAGTACAAATCCCATGGACATTTTGATCACTTATACTTCTAAGACAGTTTGAGTTTTTCTGCACATTTTCAGCAAGGTTTTGAGCAGACAGATTAGGATGTACAGAGGATTAACGGCTGCGCTACTTTTCTGAAAGTTGGTGGCAGATAGGGAAGTTGAGGTTCTCAAGCTCTTCATTACTCTGCATTACACTTGAATTACACAGTGCAGTGTGCCCTAGAGAGATCTCTGTCCTTTTAAGCTTTGAAATCACCTAACCTGCCAAGCTGTCATGTTCCATTTCTATTACCATATTCATCTTCTAATTGTATTGTCCCCTTGGCTAACTCAGGAGCATAGTGTTTCAGTTTTGTACTGGGTTCTCATCAGACGTTTCAGCAAAGAAATCAGTCTAAGCTACTAGGGCCATTTTAAGCTGAAAGTGTAGGAATATAAAACCATTCATTTGCTTCTATGTGGAAGTTGATTGGCCAACAAATGAAATGCCAATGGCCACAAGAGATGAAGTGGTATCTAAATTCTTTGGCTAGTTTCAAAAATTGAGCAGTTATAACAATATAGAAGTTATAACAATAGTCTAGTCTAAATATGTCAAAACAACTAGAGTACTTTCAAGTAGGTTGATATTTGAATGGATATTGGTATTTCCAGAATGAAACATTCTGAAAGCCTTAGTTATTTATACATTCTTATGTTTCCTAAGAAGTTAGAATTTAAAATGATTTTTTTTATGCACCATCCATATTCCAGATTTTTCCTTATAGTTCCATTTAGTTTAGCAAGTATTTATTGAATACAAGGCATTATTCTAAAAGCTTAGGGTATTAGAAAATCTGAATAGCTTCCTTATTATTTGCTATCATCCGGAAATGTACAGTCTGATTAGAAAGAGAATCGATACATGATTAGCAAATTAAAAGAAGCCAGCTTCTGGGAGCAGTTGCTGTGAGTTCCATATACAAGCTCACCAAAAAAGGGAATTTTGCAGAATCTCTAGTCTCCTTTTCATATACTGGTCTTACTGAGGTGTAATTCACATACCATAAAATTCATTTATTTTAAATGTAGAATTTAGTGGGTTTTAGTATATTCACAGAATAGTGGACCCATTTCTGCTAATTTCAGAACATCTTCATTATCCCCACAAGAAACCCCGCGCCTATGAGCAGTCATTCCCCATCTCCCCCTGCGCCGCTTCTTCCAGCACGCTAACATCTGCATGTGTCCTCACAATTTTGCAATTTTCATGCACGCCTATTATTTATTTTTTTATGAAAATAAATCTGTCCATGCTTTCACAGTGATATCCTCAATATCATGAGTGTGATATTCTGGTTTTTTCCCTAATATACATCAAAATGGCTGTCTACCAAAATAATTACTGTTCACCTACATGCCACTTTAAATTATATACTGCACTTTGTGGAACATTAATTTTACACAGTTTTGCTTATTTGAAAATTGAATACCTGAAGCCTAATGAAATGTGACAAGTACGAGTTGACACAGCGATTTGTGACCGAGCCCAGCCTGCCTCACTCCTGGCCTGTCCTCAGCCCGCTGTCCCGGGCCAGCCGAGGCAGAGCAGGGGCCAAGGATGGAGAGAGCGGGGGGAACCGAGGCCCTGTGAGAGGGAGGCGCTATTCCGCCCGGGCTGGAGGGCAGAGGAGCGGAGCCTGTCCGCGGAGATGCCGGAGAGAGGAAAACTCCCTGCCAGGAAAGCTGTGGACGTCCCTGTTTCTCAGCCGCGGGGTCTTCTACAAAATGGGTCAGAGGGGGTCCAGGAGGAACCCCACTCCTGCTTTAACCAGATCTTGTAGCGCTTTTATATATTGGGGTCCACTGCTAAAATGGGTTTTACTGCCAAAATGATGAAAAACTGGAACATCCAGTGTGTTCCATGGAGGAAGGCTGAGCAGTGAGGCTACAGCCCACACTGCAGAGGGTCTTATCGGGCGTTCTGGGGGTCTGTACCTTGCTGTCCAGAAGCTGCAGGAAGTTGTTGATAGGGAAGGATGTAATCAGAGCTCTCATTTGGTGTTCTCTGAGAATAGCTTCTATAAATAGGAGACTGTGAGTGAAAACAGACCAGAATTGGGGAGAAGCTGTAACAATAGTCTAGTCTAGATATGACAAAGATTTGAATTAATCCAATGAGTGTTTTGTTTGAGAGCTTCCTACTATATGCGAAACACCAGTAGTTATCGGGGGGCTATAAAAAGGAATAGGACATGGTTCCTGCCCTCAAGTAGCTTAAAGTCCATCAGGAGAGTCAGACATAAGATATTAGCCGTAATTAACTGTAATGGTATAATATTTCCAATAGGTCATTTTTTTTAACTTTTTAAAAATTTTACTTTTTTTTTTTAGAGAGAGGGGAAGGGAGGGAGAAAGAGAGGGAGAGAAACATCAATGTGTGGTTGACTTTCACACACCCCCTACCAAGGGACCTGGCCCCAACCCAGACATGTGCCCTGACTGGGAATGGAACCAGCGACCCTTTGGTTCACAGGCCAGCTCTCCGCCCCCTGAGCCACATCAGCCAGGGCTAATAGCTCGTTTTCTTTGAATGGTTACTCCATCAGCTTTGCTTCATAGTGCTTTATATGGATTCTTCAATTTAATTCACACTGCAGCTTTGTGAGGCAGAATCTTTGTTTCTCCTATGTTACAGAAGAAAAAAGAAGAAACAGAGACTTAGAGAGGTTAATTAACTAGCTCTGAAGTTCAGCCTCTAGGGGCTGAAACAGAGACTTGAATTTGATGGCTCAAGGTCCCTGCTCTCAACCCCTCCCCGTAGTGCCTCCCGTGGTAATGGGAGGAAGGAGACATCAGACCAGGGTGAAGAGAAGGCAGGGTCGGTGATGGGGAGGCCTTGAGACCAGGTGGCTGTAGGAGTGGCTTTAGCAGAAAGGAGGGGTAGTTACTTCTCATTACAGCACGTCAGGATTGAGACCTACCCAAAAAGAGAAACCTAGCAGGCAGCCAGAAATGCCGTTTTAAAGATAAAGATGTTGGTAATAGTAATAATTACTGATGACTTTCAAGCATGTGCTATGTTCCAGGCACAAGTACTTTCTACCTCTTGTCTCATTTAATCCTGTGCTACAGCTGCCGTTAGTGGTCTGTCTGCAGGCAAAGCAAAGTAAGCAGCTTGTCCCAGTGCAGGAACAGGGAGTGGGCTAGCCGGCTCCCGGCCCAGCAGTCCTGACCCAGAGCTCAGGCTCTGAAGGACTCTGCTCTGTGGCCTCCCACAGTGATGGAGGCGCACGGCACTTTGGGGTGAGGCAGGCTGTACGAGTGCTGGGCAGTGGCATCTGCAGCAAGCAGTCTCGTTTCTTACCTCTTTGAATCAGACGTATAAACAATATGAATTGTCTAAGATGTTAAAATTTGAAAGGAACCCCATTTTTCTCTTTTTAAGAGTGAACAAATCAACCCAGAAAAGTGGTATCATCAGCTCTCAAAAGCCACACATGTGGAGAAGTATGTGCATGTTTATGTTAAATGCTGATATGTAGGGCCATAGCATTCTAAAGCTGCCACAGTTGAGCTGTATTTGAGGCCTGCATACGAAAAATACTTTTGTATACCTGACCGCCACAGATCTTCCCTGCAGCTCTCCAGAGTAGGAAAGGCGTATTTTTTACTATTGCTAAGTATAGGCATTGCCCTACTATTCTTAACTAACCCAAGGTCGCACATAGAGGGTAAGATGGGTAAGAAATATAGAAAAGAAACCCGGGACTGTGTTGTAAGAGTTTTCACTTTAAACAACTTACAAAGTTATCTAAACGGATACCTTCCATTTCTGCGGCACGTGTCCCAGAGCTGCTTAGACTAAAGAACGTGAGGGGTCAACCACAACATGGAGGGAGCGTCAGGGTGTGATTCCCCTTACAACCGACTCCCCTCGAATGCTCTCCCTTTCAGGGTATGGTGGCTGTGTCTGGCAGTTTGTCAGTGCTTCTGGATTCCATTATCTGCGCACTCGGCCCCTTGGCCTGTCTGACCACACAACTACCTGAACTGAATGGCTGTCCCAAACAGGTCTTGGTGAGTTTTCCTTGTTTTCCTTCGACTTGGGGACCTGGGCCCTTGGGAGCCAGAGAGGCCTGATCTTAAAGAGTTTGTCAGGCACAAGCTCGTAAGACTCCCCTGGCTTCTAGCACGCAGGCTCCGTGCATGGTTCGGCCCAGGCACGTGATACTGTTTTGTTGAATGCATGCCGTGCTTTCAGTGAAGCTAGAAAGCATGCCGTGCCATCAAATAGTCCCGTGGAGAGAAGCCCTTGAGGTACCACAACCCCTGTGTTTCCTGGTCTTCTACACACAGAGAAAGTGCAGGAGCTTCCCGCCTCTTTTCTGCTGGGATCCATGGGAGAAGGGAGCAGAAAAACTAGCGTAACAGACAGCAGGGTGCCATCTTCACTCTCCCCGTGTTCTCAGACTCTGGGTTTTCTTCATCTCTCTCCCCTCAACCAAGGAGTATGTGTCAGGGAACTAGGGGTTAGTACTCTTCCACTGAACCTTTTCCACTTGTTTTACAGTCAAACACACTAGACAACATTGCATACATCATGCCTGGACTGTGACAGCAGAGAGTCCTGGGACGGGAACCTTACCCAGCCCGCTGCTGGTTCGTGTACATGTGACTGTTCAGACCCCTTCACTGGCCACCGGGTGTAGGTTTTAAATTTTTATATACATATGCATATATATATATATATATATACATAATGTACAGTATATACATAGGACTGTAACTACTTTGCTTTTAATAATCTTATGAAATGGCAAAGGTTTAGCCAAGAGGAAGCCTTGGCATGATAATGGGCTTAGGATTCTTTTTTCTCCTGTGGTGGATAAATCTGCCTTAAAAATCAATGTAACTTGGGGCTGGGGGCTTGTTCTGGGTGCCAAGTGCATCTCTTTATGGACAGCTACAATGTGATTTTTTTTTTTTCCAAGCTCAGTTGTACCTCCAGACCCATCACTGACCATTTGCCTTACCTGTCTCACAGTCGGAGATGTAATAATAAGATTATGGGAAGATGCCAGTTGACTGAAAGCACAAAGCCTTTCAGCTTGAAGTGTGTTAGGTGGGAGGTGATAAAATCATTCCCATCTTAGAGTTACTGCAATGGCTTAGGTAAGCCTAGTGGGGGGTTTGCCCCACTCTCTGCTACACAGGTGTCCATGTCTCAAAACTTGTTGTGATCATTGGCAGCCTCAGTGGGGGCCAAGGAGCTCGGTGAGCCCTGGCAGCCTAAACACCATGAAGAGGGTAAAGCAGTCCATTCCACCAGCTGAACTGCATGTGGTGTGAGCTGGTCCAGAACCTCTGGCCTGCAGAACGAAGAGCTGGTATCTTCCATTGGCAGCATTTGCTTAGCCACCAAGTCCTCACAGGTTTCTGCTTGGTGGCTATGGAAGGTGAACTTTGCCCAGCGGGATTCTTGGGTTCATCTTATTGGCTCCCCTGGTGGCAGATACACAGTGTTCTGCATTCCACACATAAGTGAATTGCAAAAAAAAAGAGTAGTTGATTCTCATGTAGGTTTATTTATGTGCGCGTGTGAATGTATGTTTTAATTATGTGTATTTAACTCTTTAAAATCTCTTAGATTTTAATTTATCCTGTAAATTTCTGTATATATAATTTAATAACAAAAGCCTCCACCAGCAACAGCATGTGGAAGATACAGATTTGTTATTTTTTTCCTCCCTTCCTTCCCCTGACCTCCTCTGAAAACTCTAAATCATCTGCATTTTAAGGTATTGTGCCTCAGAAAGGAATCATTATATCAGGATACTAATTCTTTATAATTCAATAATGTCAAGAAAGTAAAATAAAAGGAATGTTTCCATTCCCAACTGCCCTTATTTCCAAAAGAACCAGACTTTTTGCTTCCTAGTTCCAAAGAAGACAGTTGAGCACTTCAGCGTTGTCATTAAATGTGTGAGATTCCCTGCCAAACACCAGCTTGGAGGTAGCTGTGCTTTTTTCCCCAGCTAGGTGGAGCTCTACAGCATCAAAGCAGGTGTTTGCGGAGAGTGCGCAGCATCTTGTTTAACTCCTTCTTTTCTCCCCACCAGTGCGGTCACAGGGCTTTGTTTCTTAACGGTATTTTTTGGCTGCTGACTGCCTTTCTCAACTCAGAGCAGTTTTGAGATTTAATTGGGGAAACAGGAGGAAACGGGAATGTTTGGGAACTAAAATCAAGAGCAGAAATCTTGTTTTGATTTCATGTGTTACAACCTGTACCATGCCTCGTCTGTTCCCATGGAAGCTTCCTGTTTGACGCAGGGCATCAAGGAGAGGGGACTGGAAGACATGGCTTAGTACTGAAAGAAGTCAGTCCTACCATTATCATTAAGGAAATCCTGATGAGGACCTGCTTTTTGTTTGTTTTCCTTTAAAATCCAATCCTATTGTATTTGTATTTAAAATTTGTACACATTTGTATAATAATCTGTACCTTGTGGTATTTGGTACTATTAGAGGAAAAACTTTGGATTCAGACCTTCTTGCAGTTTTTATATCATTTTATTTTTTTTTTAAATAAATCCTAGCGGTTTGATCCAAATTCCATTACAATTGTATAAAGAAATAAAGTTTTGTACTTATATTATTAAAAATCACATTTTTAATATTTATAGTCCAGTCTCAGCTATCTTTTCCCTGCTGCCAACCAAAATTGCTCTGAAATTATAAAACCTGTTTTCCACACTATATGCTACCATAATTTTCTTAAAAAGAAAAAAAATCCATCTGGAAGAGAGGTCAGACCTCTGATCTTAGTCATTTTCCTAACATACATCTTGCTCTGTTTCTATTAACTTTTACATTGTGGAGTCTTGCATATTCTCTCTTTTGCAAATTACAAACCGAATGACTCTGCAAAGTGTAGCTCTGTTCATTAGCAAATAAAATTGTGTGAGCATTACTATGTTCTCCTAACTCAAGAAAATGTCAGTCTTGTGTAAGGTTCACATCTGAATCATGTGTTTAAACATGACTTTTTCATGCTGTTTCAGTATTGTCCTGCCTTGGTGATGCTAAGTCACTTAATCTTTATAGGTATCCAAAGTCCCATCTGTAAAATAGTGTTAATGTCACTTCCCTGTCTCTAAGCCAGCAGCCAGCAGGCTGACATAAATGTTTAATAATATTATGAACATTTAATATATGGAGATTTGAACCTTTCAAGGTATAAAATTTTTAATGCAAACACAAGTTGTTAATAGATAGAAGTAGTAAAATATTATGATTGAAAGGCTCTTAATTTCTTAAGGAGAGGCAGCAAGAAAGAAACCATCGTTGCTGCATGACTATTATAGAGAGTAATTTGCATATTTTATCTCGATTAATCCTCCCAAAAGCCTTATGAATATTATTCCCCTTTACAAATGAGGAGACAGATGCAGAAAAGTACTTTTCCTAAGGTTATACATCTAGTAAATTGAAAAGCCAGAACAAGCACACTGGGACAGACAACCCCAAAACCACTTTCAAAGTTAAATTATGTATGTAACTCATCAGAATCCTTCTACAATATTATCTACAGTATTGAGCAAATGTGATTGTAGGAAAACTATCTCAGACCTTTTCATCATTCAAATGTCCTTTTGTTTTAGCTGGATTTTATGATACAGGCCTCACTTGTCATACTTTGACAAGTTTGACAAGACTCTGAAGTCTAAACTTCAGAGGCAAAGTATCTTAATTTTTGTCTAACAGGACTTAAGGGATATAATAGATTACATTACAATTACGTAATATATCAATCCTAAGGGACCTAAACATTTTTACCTTCTGAAAGGCATTTGATGTTAATGTTGCTAAAACACTTAAAAGAAAAAATTAAAACAGACTTTTAATATTTACCATTTATGTTCCTATCTGTTGTGTTGACAAAATCCACACACTTCCATGTCTAACTGAAAAGCGATGTAGCCATGACTAGGGTGGCTCAGCAGGTTGGGCATCAGCAAGCAAGGCAAAAGGTCACCAGTTTGATTCCTGGTCAGGGCACAGGCCTGGTTGAGGCCCAGTACCCAGTTGGGGTGCATGCAAGAAGCAACCGATTTATGTTTCTCTCCTTCTCTCTAAAAAATAAAATCATTTTTAAAAGAAAAGCTATGTAGAGTTATGTTTACATGAAGTTATATGATTCCACTCCCTGTTTAGGGGGTGAGGAGGGACGTTTTTTCTGCTTTTTCTCTCTGAAGGGTAAGCCTAATGGCTGTTTTATTCTTGGCAGTAAAGCCAAGATCTTTTGTCCATAATCACTTTAAACCAGAGTGATACAGAAAGGCAAGAACTTCTGATAAATCACCCCACACAGACTAATGGAAGAATCCAAAGGAAGTTCATGCTAAATAAGACTCCATACAACCAAGCAATATTCTTAAATGAAGAAAAATATGGATGGTATCTGACATGAAGTTCACTTTAAATATACATCCTTCCCTTATAGCCCAAATACCATTACTGAAAAGTAGATTGATTTAAATTTTCGTGTTGGTTACTGTGCTGGACAACAGTAGTGAGCAAAATAAACATAGTATCCCAGCCCTCAAGGAGCATCTAGACTGGGTGGGGGAAGGGCGTTTATTAACAAGTTTTATGTGCATTATTAAGACATTCAAAACACAGCGGTACATGACTTCCATAAAATTTTTATACTGGACCATAAAGACGTGGGCCATTAAACAGTTTGACATCTGTTACACAGGTTAACACACAGAAGTGATTAAGTTATAATTTGGTTTTCCATCATCATAAATTTCTACACAGTCTGTTTACTACTAGCCTTTCAAATTTAAGGATCACAGACAACATGATCAATAGTATGATCAATAAATACGAAAGCCTCAAACTACCAAAGCAGTGGTTATTGTATCCTTTGGAGGCTTTAGTGAAAAACATAACAGAGCAGATACCTAATGTAGTCCCTGAGAGAAAGGTTGAACAAGATAAAAGCTGGGGAAGGCCTTGGAGAGCCTTAATTTGGGGTCTACAGCTGTACTTCGGGGACCCCAGAAACCCTTAAGTTATACTGCGTCTCTGATTTTTTTCTTCAGAAAGGCTGTGGCTTCAAATTCTCAAAGGAGCCTGTGGCCTAAAAGAGAAAAGTTGAGAGTCCTTGATCTAATTCCAGCATGCAGAGAAAATGGGAAGCTGTCTGGAACACACAGTAAATTAACGGCACCACTCGCGACGACATCTGTGTGCTTTCTGCTACCCTGAGCTCTAACCCGTCCCGAGCTGCAATTCATCGAGCTGGCTTTCTGTCAAGGTAGCTCAAGCTCCTGGCTCCTGGCTCCTATTTGAGATAAGTGAATCTGGGCTGCAAACAGAACTCAAGTTGCAGTTGGGAGACCTCGACCTCATATAGGAAGAGTTCCATCAGGGCAGGGAGACAACAGGCCAAAGAGGACGTCTACCCCAGGGGTGGGTATGTGCTCACAGTAAGGTCCCAAGGGCTAAGACAATTAAAAGTGAGAGCTGTACTCTGAGCTAGCTCTGTAACCTTACCCAACTCACTTATCTGGTCTGAGACCCGGTTTTCCAGGTGTGTTACAAGATCGTCAGGCCACGCCCCTAAACCCTTAAAAAAACCTTGAGGGCGTGGCTTACACAGGCCCACGCCCCGAGGCTTCCTACTGCCCTAGGAAGCGCGTGACGTCCGCCAGGGACGAGTAAACCTCCACGTCTGGGGTGGGGCCTGCGGTCAAGTTCCAGACTCCCTCCGCTCCGCCCCCACCGGCGCCTCCTCGCGGACCATCCGACGCGTCACGTGACGGGTCGGCGCTGCTGGCGGTTGCTGTCAGCTGATACCACGGGTTGGTGGCAGCAGCAGCCGCGGCGATGGACTTTCTCCTGGGGAACCCATTCAGCTCTCCAGTGGGACAGCGCATAGGTGAGTCCCCGGAGCCTTGTCCAGCCAGGCCGCAGGGCTCCGCGCTCAGACTTAAACCCCTCCGGGTGCCTGAGGTACCCAGCAGCGCTTCAGGGGGAAGGCGGGGAGGGAAACGAGGCAGGCGCGTCTCTCTCAGGTCTGGCCCCGCCCAGTTTCCCGCCCATCTTGATTGACAAAAGCCGTGGTCCATTAGGAAGCTTCGGCTTGTGATGGATGCCTACGGCAACCAATAGGTAAAGAGAGAGGGCGGGTCCGTACGTGTTTCAGCCAGTGTGCGGTTGCTGGGGTTGCGAATCCAGAGAGAAAGTTTAGAGGGTTAAAGGGACTACGTGGTTTTGTAGTCTGGGTCCCTTGACTGTTTTCGTCGTTTCCTCAACCCGGGTCGCGCCCCCTGGGCTCTTGCCCTCTCTTTCGTGGCTCGTTGGGCTCTCCAGACACGGTTGCCTGAGAAGGTCCAGAAGTCTATTCTCCCAGGGCCAGAGACAGGGCTTAGCGTCTAGGCGGCGACGTGGGTGGAGGGGAGTGCTTGGCAGCCCCGCCTCGCCCAGACCAGACGCTGAGAACCCGCCGGACGAGGCGGCCAGCCTAAGCGACCAAGGTCTGAGGACGTACCTCCCATGGCAGCCCTCACCCACCAGCATCAGCTCAACGCATAGAGTCGCCACGGTCTGAGCTGGAAGTGATCTTAGAAACCACCTGATCGTGCCTCCCTCATTCCTCAGTAGATGGAACAGCTGAGCACTCTGGCCTGAGACACAGGCTTACTCAGAGCCTAGGTCTCCTGACTCTCTTGCTCCCTGTTGGCAGGAGGCTTACTAGTTCTGTGGCTTTACCTCTCTGTGCCTAGATCTCCTCACCTGTAATTAGGGGATAATAATGGTCCCTTTCTCTCTGGGGTTGTTGTGAAGATTAAACTCGTTAATAAATGTGCTTAGAATAGTGCCTAGCACACTGCCAATGCTATGTAAAAGAAAGAGGTACTATTTATTATTAGTGTTACTGAGATGCCACAAGTAAGGCTCGGGAGTCCCTAGAAATGGCTGGGACTCGCAGGTCCTTACTCATGCGCACACCATGGGAGGATCGCTGGCCACGGCCCATAGAGCTAACACTGATCCAGGAATAGCCTGGCGGTGCCTCCTTGCAGGAGGAAACCGCAGGCCGTTCAGTGAAACTCGCTCTTCACCTTTTTCACTGTTTTTAGCCTGAAGTCCAGACTGGGAAAATTCTATCCTTTAGACAAGACATTGTTTCCATTCTTACTGTCTTGGCAGCCAGACCTAACTTAAGTCTGTCAACCAGCTCTGTGTTGTAATCGCCACTGTGGCTGTTAGTGGCTCCTCCGAGGTTTTGTAATCAAATCTCTCCAAAAGGGACGTGGCAGTAGAAAGTTTACACATCAGGAAGCTCCTGGTCCAGCGAGGGGGACCTGCCTTCTCAGGGCCACCACCTCCACCACCCCTCCGTCCCCTCCCACATAGCACACAAACCCAAGCGAGTCATTGTTTGGGACCTGAAAAGAGAAGGCAGCTCTCCTTTCACCTTTATTTCCCCAACTAGATATGACTGCTTTCATCACATGCCAAGTTTGAAACTTACTACTTAAAAAAGAAAGTCTGTCCCTGGCTGGGTTTGCTCAGTTGGTTGGAGTGTCATTCCATGCACCGAGAGTCCGTGGGTTTGATTCCCAGTCAGGGAGCATACCGCAGGCAACTGAATGTTTTTTCTCTCTTCCCCCTTCTCCTCTCTCTAAAAAATAAATGAACATATCCTCGGGTGAGGACCGAAAAAAAATCTTTCCAAGCCAGCCACACGTTCCAGAGGCTTTCTAGAAAAGCTCACCTGGACTCTGGGCCTTAGAGGGTTAAAAAAAACAAAAAACAAAAAAACAAAAAAACAGCTTCTTTTCTTACCCTGAAAGGTTGCCTGCCTTGGGCAAGAAATACTCTGTCCTAAGGCCATGCTACTAAATCATATCTTAGAGCACAAACCAAGTTTTACTGCCAGAATGGTCCTTACCCTGGGGCTCTTCTAACCCAGGATACTCACGTAAGGCCCTTGGAGGTCTTATTAAGGAACCTCAGGCTGGGCCCCACCCCCAGAGTTTCATACTCTACGGGCTTGGTGGGGGTGGGGCCAGGGCCCCGGAGCAGGGGCCAAGGGAGCCCAAGAATTGGTATTTCTAACCACTTCCCAAGGGATACTGATGCCACAGGATTGGAAACCACATAATTGAAAACCTCTGTTCCAGCCCATCACCTTCATTTTACTCAGAAGACTGAGGCCCAGAGAGGGGAAGCTAGAGAGCGTGACATGCCCAGGACCCCAGCGAAAGGACAGGAGAGCTGAGGTGAACTCTCTAGGGCCTGGGGGCTGAACCAAAGCAGAAGAGACTCTAAAAGTAAAAGTAAATGAAGGATATCTGCCTTTTGAGTTAATGCCTTCAGTATTCCATATTTTTTCCTCTAAATAAAGAAGCAGATGTACCACTGATGTCTGTGATCGTCGATGACCTAGTGTTAGCTGCCTGTATTTCTGCAAACTGCAAGAGTACAGTAATCTGGTCTGAAGCCGGCCGACCCATCCTGTTGAGAGTGGAGCCCCGCAGAACTGGCGTCCCTGAGCTCAGTGTGTTCTAATGGTGTTCATCAGGGGTGTCATTCACAGAGTTCTGGTGCCGCGCCCTGTGGCCACTCCTGTGGGCACCCTTCAGAGTCGCCGGGCGTCGCCACCTCCTCCCTGGGGTCTTCTCTGAGCCCTTCAGGCCCCGCCGTTGCATTTGTGCTCTCTGGTCACCGCAGCTCCCCGGATTCCCTCGCTGCCTGTCTTCGGGCTCTGAGCTCCCGCTTCCGTCTCGGCGGAATGCAGGTTAGAGCAGCATCTGCCTCTCGGGGTCGTTGTGGGGATGAAGTGAGACACTTCTGGAGAGTGCCTGGCCCATTGCCTGGGTGTGTGAAACAGTAGCTGTTGCTGTCACCATCATCACACTAACAGGCCGCTGTCCCATTATGGTAGTCGTGTGCGGGTGTGTCTCCCCAGCTAGGCTGGACTTCTTGAGAGAGTGGGCTGTATCTTATTTATCCAGGTTCTCCGTATGCAGTATGAGGCCTGGCCCCTAGTAAGAGGGAAGAAAGGAGAAAAGGAAAGTAACAGTTTCTGAGCAGATGTCACATGCCAGGTGCCATACTTGTCTCCTAGGTATGACTCTTCACAGGGACCCTACCAGATATGGCTCTTACCTTTTCACCAAAAGTAAGTCTGAGGGATCGCTGCCCAAGGTCCCACAGCTCATCAGGGTCGAAGTCCGGATGCAGTTTTCTCTGGCTGCGAGCCCTGCTCCCCTCTCGCCCCTTCACCGCGCTGCCTCTGGCGGGCGATGCTTAGTTGAAATGTCCATCAGTCCCACCCCCCAAGATCCACAGTTACTGCTCTACCCACAGACTAGCTTTCCCGACTGTGAGGCACATACGGGTCTGGCACATCTCCAGGCCACTCACCCTCAGCTGTGAGAAGGGGAGCTTCCCGGGGCAGCAGCCTGCGGGCTGAAAGCATCCCAGAGAATTAGCACCAGGCGGTGTTGACACAGCTGTCTTCTTCCGAGAATTTCAAAACCCTTTCAAGGTATTATCTGAGGACATATATCATGGCCACATTTTATAGACAAATGTCAGAAGGCAGCTCGCCAGTCCAGTTTCCATTTCTGTCTGTCAGCTCACGGCAGGCTCTCTGAGCCGGAGACCCAACTGACTCATGAAAGCAAGCTGCACACCAGCAGACTGTAAATATGGGCAGCACTGGGCCCAACCCCCAGTGTCTGTGGTGGGCGTAGCTGGATGTGGCGGCAGGTCTCAGAGCCTAAGGCTCAGTTCTGGGGTGGACGAGAGGTGGGGAAGAGTCAGGGAGAGCTGCCTTTGGGTCCGCAAAAGCCAAGCTACGTCTCAGGCCCTCTGGGGTGCCATTTTGGGAGTGATGAGCTGGAAACCAAAATGGACACTCAAGCCCTGGCTGGTGTGGCTCAGTGGGTTGGACATTGTCCTGCAAACCAAAGGGTTGCTGATTCAGTTCCCGGTCAGGGCACATGCCTGGGCTGTGGGTTCAGTCCACAGTCAGGGTGTGTACAGAAGATAACCCATTGGTGGTTCTCACATCGACGTTTCTCTCCTTCTCTTTCTCCCTCTCTCCCCCTCTCTCTAAAAATAAATAAATGAACTTTTAAATAAACAGACACTCAAGCACCATGGCCGAGGGGCCACCAGGCTGGGTGGCAGGAACCCTGGCTCCCCGCACCAGCTCTGTTCCTGTCGCCTTCCCGTGCCCTTACCTATAACGTAGCAGTGCCGCCGTTCTCCATTCCCCAGAGGACTGGTGAGAAACAGCTGAGAGGACAGGTGAGGACAGGGAAGGATTGATGCTGGCAGAAAGCGAGAAACGGAGGGCCATTGTGGGGGAATGATAGGACTGATTCCACGAGGCTCGGAGGGCGGAGTGTGGCGTTACAGCAGGAGTTGAGTGCCAGCACCGATAGCTGTCCCTACCACCTTCCAAAGATGAAACTGGCTGCCTTGTTTGGTAGTGAGCTCCCCATTGTTGTAGCTGTGAGAGCAGAGGCCAGAGGGGAGGGAGGCTGTAAAGAGGATTCCTGCATGGGCTGGTGGGGTGCACTGGACCAGTCTCGGCAGACTTTTTCTGTAAAGGGCCAGATAGTAAATACTTCCGGTCTTGCAGGCCACATGGCCTCTGTTGCAACCACTCAGCTCTGCCCTTATATCACAAAAGCAGCCGCGTGTGTTGGTGAATGAACGTGGCTGTGTTCTAATTAAGCCTTCCATAGGTACACTGACGTTTGAATTTCATGTAATTTTCACATCATGGAATTGTATTCTTTGGATCTTTTTTTCAACCATTTAGATATAAAGCCCATTCGTAGTTTGGTGGGCAGACCTACAAAAACACACTGAATTTGGCACATGGCTTCATAGTCTGCTTGCCTCTGGTCAGAC